AAAATAAGCTCATATAAAAAGATGTTCAGTAGTATATTATTCAAATAAAGAAAATCTGAAAGCTAATAGCTGATAATATGAAAAAGATATAAAAAATTATGAAATTATAGATTAATAACTATCATCAGAAGTCAAACTTTGAGATAGAAGATAATATCTTTCTATCACTTAAGAACTATAAAATTCAATACCTCAGCAGAAAGCTTATAAAATAAAATAAAAATTTTTTTAAAGTTATTGAAAAAATTGACAACAGCTATAGACTAAGTCTATCAAACAGTATAAAGATTCACTCAATATTCTTTTTTTGATACGCTACAGAAAGCTATGAGTAATTTTCTACTAGAATAATTAAATAAAATATCAGAATTAATTAAGATATAAAGTAAAAATGAGTAAAAGATTGAAAATATTCTATTAAATTATATCTCTCATAAAAAGCTTTAATATCAGATAAAATAACTAAAATTTGATGATAATTCAATATGATATTTAACTCTAAATCTAAAAAAATCATCATACTTAATTTGAGAATATTGTACTATAAACTCAATAAAAGCAAATCTTCTAAAATAATTAAATAAATGACTAAAGACTTGAAAAAAGAATAACTATCTAGCAGATAAAATGAATAATAATCTATTAGTATAAGAGCATACTTAGACTTTAAGAGAAAAATAATATAATAATGTAGAATGAATAAGCTTTGTTTAGTTTTCTCAACAGTATAAAATTATAAACTAAGATAATCAATAATAACAACTGTTTAGATATTGATATAGTAATTAATTTTACAATTACTTTGCATATAAATAATATATAAATATGAGAAATAGTATTAAGAAAAAGAATTATATAAATAGAGTCTTTTTTAAACTTATTTTTTTGAAATTATTTTAGTATTTTATCTATATTTAAATTAAAATCTTGATAATAATCTAAAAATTAAAAATAAATAACTATAATTAAATTAGTTAATATATTAAAATAATTAATATTATTATTATATAAAAATAATATTAAAATATATTTAATATATATAAAATAAAAAAGTAAAAGTAATTTATATTTAAATATTAAATTTAATATATAAAAGATTTAATTAAAAATAAAATTTAAAATTTTATTATATTATTTATTATATATATATATATATATATTAATATTTAAATTAATATATCAAAATATATTTATTTTTTAAGTTTAATAATTGATTTTTAATTATTATATATACTTTATATAGAATAAAAAAATAAAAATCTTTTTAAAAATTTAAAAATTTATATTTTAATTTAAAAATTAATTTGTATTTAAATTATTATTAAATATATATAATAAATATAAAATAAATATTTTATTTAAATTAAATAATTTATATTTAATATAAATTATATAAATTTTATAAAAATAAATAGTTAATATTATAGTTTTAATCTAGATGTAAATAAAACAGATATTCTTAAATATACTATTTTGATAAAATATTAAGATGATTTCTAAAAGATGAGTTTGAAAAAAACTTTATATATTTCTTTTTTAGTATAATTGCTAAGTGATTTTCATGTTTATAAAATATTTGTTTACAGAGTAATTGTAATAAAATTGTTATACTATTGCTAAACAGTTACAATTACTCTTTTTAACTTAGTAATCTTATACTGTTGAGTAGTCTGAACAAAATCTGTTCTATATTATCACAATTGATAATAAAATTAAAATTAAAATTTTATTTTTATTTTTTTAATAAAAAATATTTTAAATAAATTTAGTATTTTTTTTATAAATCTATTTTAAAGTTTTTAAAAATAATTTATAAAGATTTTTGATTTTTTTCATTAAATTTCAATAATAAAATAAGAAATAAAAGTTATATAAATTAAATATAATTATTTTACAGCTTGAAAAAATAATTCTCTTTCAATATTTAAAAGTTTAATTATATTATTTAAAGTTCTTTCAGTCAAAGCTAATTTTTTTAAATATGAACTTTAATTTAAACTTTGAGTTTAATTAAAATTTTAATAATCTCACTGAATTTTTAATAACTATTATAACTTTATTTTAAAGAATAATGATTTTATTTTATTTAAAAGATTTTTTATATAAATTTTTTTTATATTTTAAAAGTTTTTTAAATAGATTTAAATTTAATAATAAAATTTATATTATTAATATAATTAAAAATATAAATATATAAATATATAATTTTAAATTAATTATTAATTTATTATATATATATTAAAAAAGTAAAATAATTTATATTTTTAATAATTATTTAAAATAAAAATTAATATTTATTAATTATATAAATTTATATATTAATTTAATATTTTTTTTAAATTATATTAAATATAATTAATTAATAATTTAATTATTTTTATTAATTTTAATTATTTAATTTATAAATAAATTTTTATATTATAAGTTTTTAATTTAATAATTATATTTTATTTTAAATTATATATTAAATATTTTTTAATTTTTTTAGTTTTTTAAATTTAATAATTATTTATTTTATTATAATTACTTTTATAAAATAGTAATTTATTTAAAATTATATATTTTTTAATATTTTTTATTAATTTAAATTATTTAAATATAATTTTTTAAATTTTATATAAAACTTATTAATATTTATATTTATATATAAAATAGATTTTTAATTTATTATAATATTAAATAATCTTTAATTTAAATATTTTTTAATTAATAATAATAAATCAGATTTCATATATATTTTCAATAATTAAATAATTATATCTTATATGCTTGCAATTCAGAAGTATAGATTTCTCTCATTCATGAATATTATTCATCAAGCAAGAGATTCTTCTTCAATTAAGATCAGCTTTTGATTGTATTGTTGAGAATTCATGTATGTGATTTGATAGAATAGACTTGAGAGAGCATCATCATACACCTTGACAGCTGCTTGCATGCTTGAAAATTGCTTAGTTTCATAAGCTCTAATGACTAAAAAATCTTCCTTCCAGGTTGAAAGCTTGATCTTTTGATTTGATGGGCATATTGAATGATTTGATGCATTTATGTGATTGGAATGGAACAGTGTTCTGGTAGATGATAGCTTACATTAACTGGTTGTTAAGTAACTATTTAGTAGGATATGACACTGTAACAAAATTGCCAACTATGGATATTATGACCTCTTAAGAGATATTTGTATGTTACTTCTACTGTTAATATTTCATACTGAAAAATATAAACAGACAAATATTTATCGTAGAGATCTTGACGGCCGAAGTCATCCCTTGTTATTTTCCCAATGACATCTAAACTGACAAATTGCAACCCTTTTTCCTAAAAATATTCTTTCAATCCATAAAATTACACTGCTCTATGCTGCTTCCCAATGAAATGACATCCCAGGAGTATATGTGTAATACAGGTATCGAGTCAAAAATTCCGCCAAATGTGGTGTGGAATTGTTAGAAAAACTCACCCCAGTCATCACCATCATCGTCGTCGTCATCACCGCCTCCTTCATTACCCCCACCTCCGCCAGTTCCAGAACTCCTATTATCTCTATTCCAGATATCCTGCCCACTCTCCCCCCAGACTTCCTCATCCTGCAAAGCCCCTTGTTCGGGCGGCGGGGATTCCATTGCCTGTTGGCTGTCATATGGTTGTTGTTGAGAATCACCACTCATACCCCTTTGCATTGCTTCATATCCAGCAATGCTTCCAGCCCCAGCAACGCCTCTCCCTATAGCCCCTGCTGCACCTTCAGCAGCTGCCCCTTCCACAGCACTCCCTACGGCACCTCCAGCTGCATCACCAGCAGCGCCTTCAGCTGCTCCGCCACCCATCCCAAAAAATGGAATCGGCAAACCGCTACCAGACGAGCTATGGCGACTGAAATAATCAAAATCGATAGTGACGGCTGTAGCAAGCATCACCGCGCGCTGGTCCAGGGTCATGCCACTCCTATCATTGTCATCATGAAGGGGATGCGACTCCCGATGCGACTGAGATACGATATGTCTCTTTTCTTGCTCCTCCGCTAGCGCTGCAGAGTCCATGCGCAGCGCATAGACACCAGTATCTGTGAATAATTCCCGCGCAAAACCGGAGAAATTGCGGTTAACGGATCCGATCAGTCGCGAATCTGCTGACCTGAGAGAGAAATCCCACGACAAGAATGGCTCATCGACGTAGGCAAATTGACCGAATTCGCCAGATGCGCTGGGCTGTAAGGTGCCAGCAACTTGCAGTTGCTGGGATTGAGAAAGTTCTGCGCTAGATAGGGATATGTGTTTTGTTTGGATATTTGTGTCTGGAGTTGGGTTTGGATGGAAGAGGAAGAGGTTGTATTTTCGTCGTAATGGAGCCCACTGGGAGTGCGTTTCGCCAACTACGCGCATATCTTCGAGGGCCAAGGAGGATATTCGTGCTGAATCCCCTGCGCCAGTTGAAACGAGGGATGTAGCTGGTGTGGTTTGAATTACTTTTGAGGACGAATGGGATGCAGATGCTACGTCTAGAGGATCATAAACTCGGATTCGACTGTTTATCCATGAGAAGGGGCGGTGGAACTATGAATCTGTTAACAACGCGATACTTCAAGCAGTTTATTTGTTGCTGTGTTTCATGAAAAACCAACATACACGTAGGACTTCGTTCTCATACTTGTCGAAGACATGGGTGACAAACGATCGATGTGTTCTAAACCACTGCCGGGCCATTATACCACCCATGCCCTTCTCCTGCTCAGCCATGTAACCGACGTGGTTCCCTTGCGCGTCCATGATTGTATATCTATTGGCTTGTTCGAAGCCGCTGTCCTCGTCGTTAGCATTGGATCTACTATAGGTGTATTAACGAAGGGCTACAATTATTATCGTTAACCCACAGAAGCACATTCATCATCTCCAACTGTCTCTGGACAACAAGGCCAGAGTTTGCCAGGAGTGCAGCAGCCGGATGTCGCTCCTTAAGAACTGCATTTGGGTCCTCTGGGATATGAACCGGTGCGAGAAGCGAGTTGTCTTGCGGATCGGTATTGCGCAGCGTCGTGGAGACGGAGTTTTGTTCTCCTGGCGAGGAGCTCGCGGATGCAGATTGCGCTCTTGTCTGGTCTTCTTTTGGTAGCGGAAGGGGAGGATCTGGTCGCCCGGGATTATTTTGAGGTTTCTGACGGAGGGGAGGAAGGTGTGAGCCCTTTCGTGACCATGGACTTGGTCGCAATGAAGCTGCTCGTGTTCCCAAGAGACTGCGGGGAATGGGTAGCTTCAGTCGTCGCCGCCACCACATTTTAACGATATCAGCACTATAGCACGATGAGGGTATGGTATGTGGCGGAGATAATTATTGTTGTAAAGTTGATATTATTGCAAGTTCTAGAGGTATACAGGAATGAGTGAAATGGAGCAGAATGTGGTGGAGTATGATGGAGATGTTGGAATGATGTTGCTATTGAGGCATGGAGTTAACATGTTTAGGGATATTTTCACTAACTAGTTCATCAGCTTCATATAGTTAACTAATTAAGTAGTTAAATATTTAAGGTAATAATAGCTGTGGAAGTCATTACTCCTCCGCAGATTAAGTGTTTATAAATAACAAACTTCATGAATTCAAATATTTAATTGTTATCGATGCTCATATGTATCATCCTGTACATGTATTATTTCTGTTTGAATTTATTTTCGTAGAATAAGCCCAGCTTTGCCTATCGTCCATACATACGTATGTGTCCACGCATCAAATAACCATAGAACCACGATGAATGCAAAAACCCAGCCAAACCTAATATCACTTCAAGATCAATAATACATCTATATCGAAACTGGGGAGACGGAGAGCCAGAGCCTGCAGGACTGAAACAAGACGATCGTGGTAGGGTATAAAACTGGGTACAAGTAACTCTATGTCGTTCTCGGAACTTCGAGTACCAATTCTTCACAGCAATCCCTTCCGTGCCAGCTCAACCTTTCTTGCAGCTTCATTGGCCTTGAATCCACCCTTAGATATACAGATAGCGCTTCCATCTCCCAGCTCGAACTTGTCCTCCACATCCGGGTGCTGGCAGGGGCAATGATGTGGAACAGAAACGCAGGCTAGAGTTCCAGGACAAAGATAGTCGGAACAATGAGCTTAACACGGGACGGTTGTTAGCATTTTTGAGCTTAAAGAGAAAATGAAGTTGTATTCAAAGGAGCATACCATTGTCATAATTTCGCTGGTACCAGGAGCTGTCGCTGGCAACATTCTGTTCACGGTGATCTTGCTGCTGCTGGTGTCCGCCGCCGCCAAACATCTGCTCGAAAAATTGGAATTGGGCTCTGGTCCCTGTTGCAAGGAACAGTAAACCTAAGAGAGCACCTATAAGTATGTGGAACATCTTTATCTCCATACTTCGTATAGATTTTATTATATTCATTGCTTTTATTTCATTTTTATTCTGGCCAGATTTATGATAAGAACCTCTTTTATCACGTGACTGAAGAACCCATATCACATGACCTACCCCAATCCAGAGTTACTTGAAAAAGAGGAGCTCCATCACATTAAAAACCACCAAATGAACGACCGACAACAACCATACGCTGCGATCGAGTCTGAGGAGATTGAGATTGAGGGTATCCGTTCTCGATCTAACCCATTGATGCTACTATGATTCAACCTCGACTGCGTGGCCCAATGAGGGCTCTTGATACCCTCTTTTCCCCATCCACATCCGTGCTCGGCACCCAACAACAACCCACACGGTCACTATCACAGCTCTCATGGAGAACAACCACAACTAGCACTACCAATAATGCCACGTTCTCTCTCAGCCCCTCCTCTCGTCCCTCCATCCTCCAGCAACAACACCAATTATACCAATCCTTCACTGACCCTCCACATTCCCAGCTCCAAATCCGATATGCTTCTCACGCCAGCCAGGGCCGCGCCAACAATGGCACAAAAAACGGCCCTGGCAAACGCCTCGGCGCCAAAAAATCCAGTGACCAATTCGTGATTCCCGGTAACATAATCTTCCGCCAACGGGGCTCCAAATGGTTCCCCGGCGAAAACTGCGGCATGGGCCGTGACCACACCATCTACTCCCTCGCCACAGGCTATGTGAAGTACTACACAGATCCTGCACGCCATCCGGACCGCAAATATATTGGCGTGGCCTTCAATAAGTCCGACACTCTACCTACCCCCAGGAACGCGATTACGCGGAGACGCTTTGGAATGCTCGCCGTGCCCAGAGATGTGGAGAAGGAGAAGGCCAACAAGGCGGCTAAGGAGGCGGAGATTGCCCCTACGCTTAGACCTGGGTATATGTATCGTGTGGCTAATTGGCAGATTGGCCGGGTGGCGGAACGTGTGGGGCGTAAGGTGCCGGAGTGGGATAAGAGCGATCGCTTTGCGGCGTGGAGAAGGAGAATGGAGAGGAGGAAGATTGCCTCGCAGTTGAAGGATGCTAAGCCGAAGAATAAGGGGAAGAAGGCTAAGGCTAAGGCGTAAGCGCGGGTGCTGGTGCGGATGGGTGTTGTGTGAATACCATGGGATTAAAAGTTAGTAGAAGTAGCAGAAGGAAACGAAGAGAGGGAAGCTCTGGACCCTTTCCCTTTTCTGGATAAATGAGATGTATCGTTTCCTTTACTGGTTTTCTATTTTATCCATTTCTTTGACTGTATAATAGAACAAGATGACATTGAATGGAATCTATTTTTTTTTTTTACTTTGTTACATATATATCCATTGTTAATGTGAGCTTTCAAGTTCCGATTTAAATGAAAATAGGAATCATTTGAAAATTTTCGTTTTTAAATTAAGAGAAACTTGCTAGCATATTCCCTTTTACAGTTACAAGGTAGAATAACCCTGAAACCTTTATTTGTATCGCACACCTGAATAGCTAGCTATCTACACTGGAAAATACTTAAGTAGGCCTGACTAACAAAATAATAATAATAATAATAATAGAAATGAAATACCTCTGGGAACGAAGGCACGAACTTAGGGTATCTTGACATAATATTTTCTTGAATCTTGGATAGAAATCCGTAAATGAACAGGGATATGAAACTTGGGGAAAGGGGGATTATGGGACGCAAAATAATCGAGAGCGAAAGAAAAATATCAGATCGCAACATTCAAACGAACATTCGATAAATGCAATTTAGTGATGTGGGTGAATGACGGTTCAAGTCATTCTTCATACCCCCTTCCAGAAGAGTGAGGATTAGGGCAGAGAATGCTCTAGGGAGAATCGTAAGCAAAGAGGCAGAAATCAAGACAAATAGCACGAATCAAGAAGAGACCAGATTAAGAAGAACTAAGCGCGTAAACAAAATAAAATGGATGATCAAATTACAAAAGGATAAACAAAATGCCCACAAAACTTTTATTGGTATATTGTCGGCATGTCAGCAAAAACTTGTTCCAACGGGATCATGGCTCCAACAATTTCCCCAAAATAAGACTTTGGCAGATAAATTCGTTATCCAATATTTTGATGCTTCTCCCGTTAATAATAACCTCACTTTCCCCAATTGTGGCCCCGCCTTCAGCCGCGCCTGCCGGAGCATGGGCAGCGGCGAATGCTGCCCCTGCAACAGGTCGACCGCCACGTCGCCGCTTCTTGGGGGGTCGACCACGAGAGCGAACAGCAGGAGTCTGTGCCGGCGAGTCCGACTGCGATTCCCTGATAAGTTGCGCACGAGCAGCTGCAGCTGCCCTCTCGTCACCGACATATATCCAATCCCAGCCTGTATCTGACTCTGCGCTTGAGTATCGTGTCCTACGCTCAGGAGATGCCAGCAGCTTAATCGCGGCATTGATGTCCTGAACACAGGCGATTCTGCTGGGGCCAAGGGCGCAGGTGAGGAAACTGTAGGGCTTTCGCTGTTCGGCTGTTTTGCCCCGGTCCATGACCATGAGGACGGATTGGCCAGCTAAAAGTTTGGGGCGGGAAGCAATGGTATCTGGTAGTCGTGCGGTCTGGGCCGGGTTTGAGGCCAGAGTTCGAGATCGAGTTACGTTGTTGAGAAACGTGGATTTGCCTGCTGGGAGGAGATAGGGCTCCCAGTCCACAATGCGGCCTTTGGCGATGCAATCGTGGATCCAGCGGCCTGCTAGACAGGGGAGATTGAGGGCAAGGGCTTGCATATACTTCACGCGGCGGCTATGTTCATCTGTTAGGAGGCAGACAAAGCCGGTGGTTTCAGCCCTAGGGCGTAAAGATAGTATCCCGTCATTGTTGTCTTCTGTGGTCTGTATAGTGGATATGCTTTCGTCATGTGCAAATGAAGAGTTAGATAGAGGTTGATTGAATAACTCTGTGAAACCGTCTTTCAGAATCCGTCCACCGTTTTCAATGATGACCTGCTCAATGCCGATTCTCCTTTCATCTTTATCCTTAAAAGAAACTGCAAATGCCATTCCAGAAAATAAGCCAGAGACAGTTGGAAAACGGAGAGGAGTCCGTGAAGCAGATAACGCAGAGCTGTGATGGTGGTCCTTTAGCTTTTGCAATCCAGATGTAGATGTTCTAATAGGAAGGGGAAATTCTGAGTATGAAAATTCCCGGTTTTCCAACCGAGACCAGAGAACTTTGTCAAAATAGATATTCGAGATTGGCACGGTGATATCAGACCCTCTGCGGGAAGAGTTACGTGAACCTCTCGGTCTAAGAATGACAAAGCTGTGCCCGTAGATATCAGTCATCTTCGAAGAATTCCGCTCCTTTTCCATCTTAAGAATGGAATCAGTTTCATCCGGCTTCCGGAATCCCACTACAATGTGTGGAATCTTTGGCACCCGCATCAAGTCCACTTTGACTATATCGTTGATTCTCAGCTCCAATCTCTTAACTGCGTCTGCATTCACCTCATCAGGTTTGGCCGAGTCCTCGAACCTAATAAGGTATCGAAGTGGACCAACAGAGTTTGAAATCCCAAGACATGTGGCAGGGAAGTAAGCCTGTGGTCGGCCATTGAAAAAGGCAAAGACTCTATTTGCTAAATACGGGGCATTCCGTGATGGCAAAATAACCTCCAGTTTTGATTGCTTAGGGGTTTTTTGTCCTTGGATTGGGTCCGGGCTATCTGAACTACTGATCGCCTCTGTTGGGGTTGACGGGGTGCTGTTTGACTTGTTACCCTCAATCGGCCCAACAATGCTATGTCTAAGTTGGTCAGAGAGACGTGGCCGAGCAACAGGTAGCTCTAGTGGTTGACTGAGCCGCCGTTTACGACCTCTGCCCACCTGCTTCACTGGTTTGATCGGTGAACACTCAACTTCCCATACATTTGCACTCTTCTTAGAGGGAGCTTTACGATTCTTTTGAATAGCAACAATGCCATTCTGTAGGCCTGATACTGGTACTGGTACTGGTGTAGCTCGCTCAGGAACTTCGTTTGTGTGTTTACTAACCTGTATCGCCGAATGTGAAACTGATACAGTGCCTTCAGGGGTAGGGGTTCGATCCATTTGTAGAGGGGTCGATAGATTGATCGCCTTCCCATCATTCCCTCGACTCCTTTTCCGTGTCCGAGGAATCCCGTCCCGAGTTATTAATTGAAATTCTCTGTCTTCTGCAGTAATGAGTCCAAAATCTGGTAAAAGGTCAGGCAGAGATTGACATGGTGAGTGGTCTGCTGCAATCTCCGTCATACTCCGACGTTGGCGGCCGCTTGGGCTGGAGAGAATTGCTGAAATGGTGCGGTCTGTGACACCTGGGGTGAACGTTCCAGGAAATTGAAGACGTCCACCCAGTTCAGCGCGAGAAAATTGAGGAACCACAGGCAATTGGTCGTCATCAACAGTCAGAGAAGCTGAATAACTTTGGTTAAAACGAAGGATGGGTTTCGGTAAGCTTCTGGAAGAATTTCGATTATATGATGGCGAAGTTTCCGGTGCTGTCTGGTTATCTTCATTTGGTGGCTTCTTATTCTGCATATTAGGTGTTTCAAAAACGCGAGAGGGTAGAGACGAAGGTTTCACAGCAGTGTCCGCTTTCCCAGATGATGGGTCATTTTCTAACAGCTTATCGTTGGCCTCGGGATGTTCTGTCCGGATTTTTTGGTCCTCTGCCTCGGCAGCAACTTGTTCATCAGAGCTATCTCCTTGGTTGGCCTCCGGGGCAATTGTTTCAAGATGATTCTCGGCATCTGCGATAGGTTGATCTCCATGAGTCGACTCAGCTACATCGTGGTCGACACGGGTAATTTGCTCAGGGAAAGTGATATTAATTTCTTGACTAGATATAAGTGAGTATGGTATACATTCCACAGGAGGTGATTGTCCAATTTGCTCGCTTGATTTCCTCGGTCTGCCTCTGGGCCCTTTTGCGGGGAGTCTCAAGCTGTGCGTTTCCAAAGAAATAGTTCCTTGGCTGCAAAGAACGGATATAGGAGACGATGGTATATATTCCCTATCAGACGATTGTCCTATATCGGTATTTGCCATCCTTGGCCTAACCCTGCGCCTCTTTAGAATTTCCCGACTTAACGGTTGGGAATTCACACTCTTTAAGATTTGAGATTTACTAGGCGTCTTATTTTCGTTTTCATCCGGTGAGCCCGGGGGTGGCTTCACTGATTCCTGGCTCAAATTAGTAGGATCTGGAAGCTCTCTAATGAGGTTTCGGCGACCTGCAGGGGTATCCAATTCAAGGACTTGGGAAAGGGCATCATGAGCAGAAGCGGTGGTGTCCGCGATATGAATTGGTCCACTGTCAATATTCTCTTTATCATCTTCACTGGAAAGCTGGGATTGTGGAATTCGTCGATTCTGAGAGCTCTCGTGCTCGTCTTCCTGCTCCGTCTCCTCTTCACTTGCTCCAGCAGTATTATTTTCAATAACATCAATATCTGATCCCGTTGAAAGAGCAGCACGCCGATGGCCATTTCGCGATGCTGTTTGACCCGGTGAGGTGTGGAGTGTAGCACTTCTTCTCCCACGGGCTTTCGGATTTGGTCGGAAAGGGGCGGTTACGTTCGCAAAATGTCGTCTCACTGACTCTTCAGTATATTTTCCCCGTACATGTCTCCGAACGAAGCTGCCCTCCTTTTCAAACTCATCATCACTAGAACCATTTTCTTCGATTGATCGTAGTCGTGCTAGCTTCTCTCGTTCAGCCTGTGATTCCTTCATCGAAACATAGTGGGTTAGAGGCTCTAGATACTTTGGATGAACGGCAGAGGAGGAAAGGAAAGGTGAAAATACCATGGTCGTCGTGCCTGCCCATCCAGGTTCGACAGGGAGGTTTGGCGATGGCATGTCGGAAGAAAAGTCTTGCTGTGGTCCATTGGTAAAGGGCGACGATGAATTTTGAGTTGCATTGAAGACTTGAGACAACGCCATAACAGTACTGCCGCTGTGATGAGAGCTGCTAAAGGGGTTACGGGAGAGCATCGACATAGTGGATGCCTCCAGCGGTGGGCTTTGACGATTGCGTGCAGTAGGAGTTCTGCGAATAAAACGTTGAGACTCCGGAAAATGCTGGTATTGTGTTGGAGACGACACTCCGTCAGCCATGTCAATATCTTCGTGTTGTTCATCCTCATCAACAGACTCAGTGTTGGCAATAGGACTTTCCGCAAAATCAGCCAGTAAATCCAGATGACCTGTATCACCCTCGTGTAGTGTTTCATCCTTTGTCATTAGATCATCATCCTCGCGCTCGTGGGCTTTAGGACGCCCCTGGTTTGACCTCGCCTGGTTCAAGAAGGTTTCAAGGACAGATTCGGAGATGGGCTGAGTGTCGCTTGGTAGGCCACATGTTGTTGACGCCATTTTCCTAGTTGGTGACTCGGGAAGAGTGCTGTTTGCCACATCTGATTGCAATGGTCGATTCGTGGTGAGACTCAAGGATGCAGTAGCATTGCCTTGCTCAGCATTAAATTGGCGGAAGTCTGTCCAGTTGAACGAGATTAGATCAGACGTTTAACGAATGCCTTCGCTATCTCCAAGGCAATGGGGACTCCAGTGCCCAAAAGCTCAACGTCTCATATCACTCTCGTTTAGAGGACAATAACATCTCACCTCGTAAATGTAAATGTTTAGACACGTCCAGTTTAGAAGTTTCCTATCAAGTAATAAATGTGAATTAGCGCAACGGATGCCCTTGGGTAGCTCTCGCGCCACTCGAAGAGAGAGAAGAAAGAAAAGAAAAGAAAATGACATGACGCACATCAACCAGTCCCAAGGCAGCCCGTTTCAGATAGACCAAATCAAGGCTGTCATCTTGGGTCTCCATACCTGGGGCATATAAAACTCCGGGAAGCGGAGATATATTCACCGGACTCGCGATGAGTCGATGACGTTTGTCTGTGCCCTCTGTGCAAGGTGTTTCCATGCAAATCAAGGTTCAACTTGTATAAATATACATGTATGTCATTAACTAACTAGTTTAATGGAGGTTGGAATTAGGGTGGATTACCTAAGGACAGCAATGATCCCTGCTAGCTTCCCGATTTGGCGCGACTAGAACGCGACTTCCTAGTCGCGATTTGAGGCACGCGGTCACGTGCGCATAATTCAATTATGCCCGATTGGGACTTGGAGAGAAGTCGTGGGCGGAGCAGAGTTGGTGTTTATGCCAACGATAATCCCCGTCTGTTGCTACCGAGAGTAGAATTTCTAGTCAAATATCAAGTCTGTGCGCTCGTTATTGTTTTCGTTTACAGGTATCTGATGTACAATACAGTTAAACATACACGCAAACCAAAATATGGTGTCCTTGAGCCGTCGCCAATGGCTTTTGAGATAGTGGCAACATTCCAGCAAGAGAAATTAGCCATCCACAACACTCAGGCTAAACACTCCATGCTCATCCTTCCCAATAATGCATTCATTCTTACGGAAAACAAAAGAGAGACCATCTTCAATCCCGGCTCCGATTCGGTACCCATCGCCTAATACTCATTTCGCGGACCTT